CTTACGTGGACTTGATGCGCCGAATTGCCGGACTTCTGTGGCAATGCAGCAGCCCAATCCTATTTGGGTTGCAGCATGTGTGGGCAGCGGTTCATTGCCGACCACATGAGCCGCAGCATCCACATCGGAAGTATGTTGCAGTATTTTGCTCTCAATGTCTTTCGGTAGCCGGCAGTCCGATGCTGTAGCTGCACGACAGGCGCTTTTCTAGCAGCTACCTTTCTGCCGCCGCATGTACAGTTTCTGTACCGCCTAGAAGGGTTTTTCCATCTGCTCGCATACGTCGCCGGATTCAGGCTGCTGATTGTACGGATTCGGTAAGAGATGCTTTGTTTGCTAGCCTGGCTTTGCGCAAAGCAAGCCAAGGCAACCTTTTGCACAGACAGCAGGTGCCTGCGCCCCACGAACAGAGTTCGTGACGCAAGTTTCGCATGCAGCTTTAGCTGTAGCGCACCCAACAACACGACGCATGTTTTCAGAAATGACGATGTTGCGTTTTCAGGGTTTAGTGCAGTGGCTGTAGATGATCGTTCATGTCGCAAGCCCAGAACTCAACGGCATGACCTGCCACAGATCCCAACAAATCGAGGTCTCCCAGCTGCTGCATTATTCGTTGAGATAATTTTGCCTGTATTCCTAAAGCATGAAGAGTGGGGAGACATGTGTGGCAGCCTTTACCTTCTCATCTACTGAAACGATCAATGACTGGCCCGTGCGTTGTGGGGCCCGTGCGAGAAGGAAGGTCTTATTTATGGGCGCTGTGTTTTTGATTTGGCCTGCATATCAAACGCGGTGCGTTTCAAACCTAGATCGGGTGGGTTGTCCGAACGCACACGGCATGAGAAGAAACAACCTTCTCGACAATTGACACACTCCCAGTGCTAGGCAATGTGGATAGACGTTGCCAGCCCAAAAAGAGAGTCTGTTAGCAAAGATGGGTTGCAATGGGCCAAGGTCAAGGCGTACTGGCTCGCCTGTCCTGATGAGGCTGGATAGGGCACGACTTCATGTGGGAAAGCGCGCGTTAAGGTGCAAGAAGCCGGCTGACAATGAAATGCTTGAAGTACCCTCTGCATTTCTAGATCGCTCCGTTGCATACATCTGCAACACAAGCAAATTACACAAGCTAGGAACGGTGCAGCTTGCCCCCCGATCGCCTTGTCAGAGCCTGCATCTCTTCAACCCTAAGCTGAGCGTATTTTTCTGAATGAGCCGTTTTGACAGGCGGTCTTCTTTGAAGAATGCTGCCCGTCGATCCCATCCCCAGCAGAGGAAGCGACCGAAGACTGCACAGTCAGGCAGGGTGCTTTGCAGGTTCTTCGTAACTACTTGGTCAACTACTTGCAATGCACGGTCTGCATGGCTTGGTCTCAATTTTTTCCGTTGAGGCTTCAGCTACTCTCGTCCAGTATCCGTCACGTAGCGGTGCAAGTCAAGTAAGTTCAGTTCCACCGGAGCAGAATCATGCCTGTGAGACACGCAGCTATCACCTTCGCTGGCAGGGGCCAAGTTCTATTGCCCAAAGCGACGGCACCAGGGATGGCTGCCGTGGAGGTCTTCCGCGAGGTTGAGGTGCCTCGAAGCCTAATGTTGCCACCTGTTCAAGTACTGTACAAAAGTTCATTTTATGACTGCGCAGCGAAGGCGCTCGAAGGTGCGAACAAAGGTGCCGTGGGGACAGAAATTCATGGGACGAGTCACTGGCCACAGGCCTGAAATCAATGCGGGGCAAAGCCATCAGGGCAGGGCCTTGACATCCTGGTGAGCACGCACTTGCAGCCTGCAGCTGAGTGACGCAAGGCCGCAGCCATCAAATGGCCAACAGGGCAAAGACTGAGCGCACTGGGATGCTTGCAGAACCGCCCCACCACGTGCTGGGCCAATGGGAAACAAATGGCCTCCTAGAACCAGCGCGTAACAGACGGGGTTGCAGCAGGGCCAAGCACGTATCAAGGACAAGTGGGAGTTCCCTTCCTTGGCGAAGCCTGCTTGAAGGTGCTTGAGTACTCGGCCTGAGGTTTGCTTTGCTGTTTGTTGCTTTGCTGGGTGCCGCGGTCATTCCCATGCCAAGTGCAACCAGTCACCCCAATGGACGCTTGCACCAGCTGCAAGCAGCAAGCATGGGGTTGTTGCTCAACCTGGCCTTGAGCTTTTCGCGAGCCAAGCAAAAGAAGCAAGTGCTCCAGCTAAGCACCTCTAGCATGCGAGTCAGTGTTTGATTGGGCTCTCACTCAGTTGAGATCCGTTGAACGAAGTTCACGCATGTCATAGCATATCCAAGTCAACATAAGCGTCCTCTTTCGTGCTTCCCCGATTTTGAAGGCTATGGCATCAAGTTGACTTCGCCGAAAAGATCTCAGGTGTACCAGGGCCCAAAAACGAAGCAAGCACGGCAAAGAGGGTTTGCAAACAGGTGCCAAAACACATTATGGAGGGTCTCCTCATTGAGAGAAGTGCAAGAATACATGGATTGGCCCAGTGCTTGAAGTCAGCTGCAGGGTGGCGCCAGCGTCATGTTCCGGACCGAGCTGAATGTCATGGACTCTGGGAACCACAGGTGATGGGCAACTGATGTTTCATGTGCTGCACGGTGACCTGTGCTCGCCCCTTGCTGCTAGCTCTGCTGCATAGCTTTGCATCGCTCTGCCTAGTGATCGAGAGTGAATGATGGACTTCAACAATTGGTTGGAAACCAAGTACGTAAACGCTGCGCTTCTGAATTTGCCGCAACATGTGGACCTCTTCCTCTGCCTTTGCAAGTGAAATTCTATTGATCGATGTGGTGGACAGATGTGCAGATCCCAGATCATTGTGCTCTTGGGGAGTCCTGTCTACATGCCGGTTCTTTTATCTTCAGAAAAATTTGGCGGTGGCGGTGGCGGTGGCGGTGGCGGTGGCGGCGGCTCTAGGTAAAGCACTGACTCGAGGGGCTGCGATCTCTGCACCAAACCACGGTCCACACATCTACTTCCAAAGACCCAAACTTTTTAGTCAGGGCCCAACTTGTTGCTTCCGCATATTTGGTCAGGCTCTTGGATCACCAGCTCAAGGCCAAAAGCGACAACTGGGATGCCAAGATCCGACTCAGCCGCTGGAGCTGAAAACGCTGAGACTCCGACACCTCTCTTCCTCCATAGGCTCATTTGTTTTGGTTTTCCAAGGAGGTCAAGCCATGGTTGTGGATTCTGCCAGAATCCCAAGCCCTGCAAAGGAATCTGGCCACATCCTCTAAGAAGAGCATCGCTGGCATCACTGCCGGCGGCGGCGAATGGCAGAGGTGTTGGCAACCATTTCCTTAAGCAGTGTGGAAGTTCTGGATTAGCTCGGGGCACTTTACTGCCTGACAGCCTAGCTCTCATATGATCATTGGTACGAGGCTCGTTGCTATGTCTTGGTAGTCATGGCCTAGCCGCGCACCACCTGCATTCTCTGGTTTGGCAAGCGCGAAGGAGAGGCAAGAAGCAACGATCTCACAACCGGCTATGGCACACAAGCTCTGATGTTGTGATTCGCATTAATTACTGCTCTGACACAACTTCATCCGTTAACTGACGGATTCTAGGAAGCTTAATGACCGATCCCTGCTGCTTCTTTTGACTTGCGAATTTGCATGACTGCTTGAACACAAATCAGTCTGCGACACCCGGGTGAAGTCACGAAGATACATTTCAAAGATGCACACTCTGGAGCAACGTGAGAGCAGGTGGTGCAGACAGGGAGAGCGGCGGAGTTGGAGCATTGGCAGCGCCGCGTGGTACGAGATAAACCCTAAGGCTGAAGTATCTGAGGTTCTTGTAAGAAGCACTAGTTTCCCCTTGATGAGTGTTGCTCCTCAAGGCATGGCCATGCCGCTCTGGGAACCAATACCACCTGTCTACAACATCTGACAGTCAAGCTCAGCTGGCCGACAGAACATCTCTTCTGCTTGCATTTCGGCAGACGGAAACCTCGGATCTGAGGCTGGATGCAAAACCAGCATCGGAATACGTCGAGGAACAGTTTCGGCAGGGTCCCCTTGGCTGTGACCATGGTAATCAACTTTCATGGAACGTGCAGGGACCCTAGGAGTTGTTTCCATCAAGAGCTAGGCACGGTTGACTTTCCGCAGAGGCTTCTCTTGGGGCCTTGTAGCGTTTCAAGCGATTGTGCTTTCAGGGCATGCTGGCGCTTGCGGCATTTGTTATCCAAGATATTGTTTTTGTGTGCGCACAACTACTTTGTACAGTAGTCGGGCGGCTACTTCTGCTGTCGCATGACTGACCTTGTTTGGTTGCGCGACGATGTTGCTTTGGTTGTCCCAGCAGCTGCAAGCAGTTTCTAGTGACTACTGGCGGCTTGCAGGTTCTTCTGGGGTAGATCCAGGGACTTTGAGAGCTAGCTTTGAGACGTGTTTGGAGCTTGGAAACATGCAGACATTCCGGGTTGGTTTGTAGACTCCTTGGAGCTCTGAGACGTATAGAGCTATAGACACTCTGATGCTTTGCGGCATGTAGCTGAATAAAAACATGAAGGTCTACAAGCAGCTAGCTCAACGAGGGCCGCAAAACCAAACCTCCAAGAAAAGCATTCCTTCGCAGCTCTATCGTGGAATCAGTTGTCCTTGATATATTGGTTCAGGGCATAAGGCCGTTGCGGGCCCGTGCAGGGGGCCATCATGCTGAACCCCCCAGGAAGTGCTGGTGGTTACGCGTTGTGGAACAAATGGCCGGGCGTAGCCCGCACGCAGCAGGGCAATAGAACACCCGTTTGATTTTAGTAAGATTTTTTTTGTGGAAATTCTGCTTGTATTTGTTGTATTTTCTGTGTTCTACTGCTTTTTCAGGTTCCAGATTACTTGAGTTTTTTTTTTTTTTTGCGCCAGTTTTTCTGCTAATGGTGTTT